GTGTTCGTTCGAGTGACACAAAGGGAATACCATACCTCAAGACAGGACAGACCGGTCCAGCCCTGGGGTTTCTGGGTCACTGTGATACACACCTCTGATGGTGTGCTGAATCTTTGGTGCTGCTTATGTGGTCATGCACAATAGATAATGATTTAGCAGTTTTGCACAGTAGATTTTTATTTCTAAACTACTGTCTTGTAGTAATTGAGGTAATGCTGAGTCCTTGTAATTGTGTTGTCAGGAATGTCATGTGGAATGTTCAGGAATTTAGTCACGTTGCCTGTTTATTTTCTTTGTGTCTCTGCGTGGTGTTGCTCTTTTCAGATCTGAGATGTTTTCCTCTATATTGACCAATTGAAATGCATGAAAAAATGAAAATCTTGGCAGTATGTTTTTTTTTTTTTTTTTTTTCTCTTCCTTGAAATGTAATCGCATTTGGATCAGTTTGAATCAAAGAGCACAGCAATCAACCCCCACAGAGGTATTGTCTGGCATACTTTTATTAATTAAGTCAAACTATGCTCGCACTTTCACTCATTTGTTACAAACAAGTGGCCAGGCTCCGTTCCAGTGCTCGCTGTGACTGCATGGTCACATGACTTTGGCTCTTGAACATGAGCCACCAGCGCTCTATTGATGCTGTCAGTGCCAGCTGGCCCAGCCAATCAGATACAAGTAAAAATAGTGGCTGATTTTACTGAGATCCAGCATTTTAATGAAGCCATTGATATTAGTCATGGCTGTTTATTATTTTTTCTGTTGGAACTGGAACGGGCTGTCACTTAGCTAATATCCATGTCTAGTGAAATGGTTAATTTTACATAGTTGCCCTGTCTTCAAAGTAATGCATCTTTTATCGTAACTATGCATATGAATAGGTCTTTAGGGTTTACGTGCTTCTCCTCCAGTGACGTTTTTAAATTTGTTCTTAGCTGAATCATAGCTTGTTTTTCCCCATTTGCACAATTCACATTTTAAGTGTGAATTGAACTTTTTGGGCTTTTTTATGACGCTTTGTTCTTCCCGATATCCAGCAAGTTCAATCATTTTCTGTATGAGAACACTGTGTTCCTTTCCATTCAGTATCAAGTGTGTCCTCTGTTGCTCTCTGCTGCAGACATAATTTATGGAAATTAAAGAATCTGCTGAGTTACTTCCAGAGTATCTGAAGGAGTGTGTAAAATATGTATATGTCCATTCAGGGAAAAAAGACTACTGGCTTTGCAATTTATACTGCAACTCCACAGAGGCTTATCAATATCTAATGTACACATTGTAGCTCAAATAAGTGCTTCTGTAAACTTTGATAACAACCACAGCCTCTATCCCTGTTTTAGATGGCATTTATCTCCTTCTGTTTTCTTGTTGTTTTAGAAATAACTGATGCTGCATCCTTTGACTTATTGTCATATGAATCATAAAAAAAACTTCCTTCTAAAGAGGAATTTTAATGGCAAACCAAGTTTTAATATAGGGATATTATATCTAGGGATATAATGATTCACTCAACTCACGATTCAATTCACGATTTTGATTTCACGTTTCGATTTGATTCACTTTTCTTTTCTTTTTTTTTTTTTTATAAAATGAGATTTAAGACAAATTATAAACTAAATGTGTCCTTTTTTTATTGCTTGGACAAAATGCTGCACGTTTCTTTGTGAAACTGAAATATAACACTATAGTAATATACTAATATAGCTTATGTAATATACTTGCATATTGATGCTCTTTTGTTGGTTTTGATTGCTTCTATTGTCCTCATTTGTAAGTCGCTTTGGATAAAAGCGTCTGCTAGTGCTAAATAACAAAATGTAGATATAATGTAAATGTAAATAACAAAACTAAATTGAAATTTTAAAACAAACCCCAAATCAAATAAATAAGTAACACAAATAAAAGAAATATCTTCATATAAACAAAAGG